GCCCAACCTTTAAAGAACTAGCCAATGAGTTTACCAGGATGGCTCGTGACCCACCGCGCTATCTGGTCATAAAGGTGAGTAAGGGCTACAGGATGTCAGTCATTAAGAAGACTAGACTAGAACCCACTTTAATGAGTGTCTGTTCCTATAGAGAGAGAGCGGACCTGGAATACATCCTGCAGCAGAGCCCTCTTCTCTGACCAACAAACAGTTGGAAGAGGTAGAGCTGGAGCCAGAACTGGACCTAGACTTGGACTTGGAGGCAGAGGAGGACAGCCTGGCGACCACACTGGGTTCTGTCCTCAGCTTGCCTGTGGGAACGCTCACGCGGCCACGTGGGGTGAGATACCTTCTAACTGCATGAGATTTTGCTCCCTGAACCCTCATGATCACCACTCAGGTTTTTTCCTTTGTTTTTAACCCTTTCATTTTCTGTCATCTTAGAGCCAGAGTCTTTTAAGTCCCTCGTCTGGATACATGCCCATGAACCAGAGTAATCTTGGGGAAGCTGGTCTGGTAAGACCTTCTGCCAGAAGCTGGGGAGGCAGAGGGCTTATGGGCTTGGAAGGGTGGCTAGAGATATGGAGGAAGATGCCTCAGATCTTGAAGGTTTAATCAGCATTCTGTAATAGAGAAGGCCCTGAACAACTGTAGCTCCTTCTAAATCTGCATATTTGTTATTCTGTGTAACAGAATTTTGTTGTTCCCTGTGAATTTTCCTCTGTAGGATTCTGCAGTTTTGGGGGGCCATGAACAGCTTCCTCATCCCATCTCTCTGCACCCAATTCCACGGGGACGTCTGCCGTCAGAGCCATCAGAGGGCCATGTAATAGGCTCTGAGGCTGAACTCCAAGAGAAAGTATCAGTGTGTCGGAGCCGGAGCCGGAGCCCACGGCCACGTGGGGACAGTGCCTACCATTCGCAGCGACACAGCCTGCTTACCCTTGTCACGCCACTCTCCCCACCAGGCTTAGAGGAAGAGGATGGCAATGGCTACGTCATGCCAGATACACACCTTAGAGGTGCTTTAGTCATTTGTTTTCTAACTTACCCCCTTCCTTCTGATAATTTCTATGAAATATGAAGTACATGTTTCTTATATGTACTTATAGTTTTTCTCAATCATAGGTACATCCTCCTCCCGGGAAGGCACCCTTTCTTCAGTCGGTCTCAGTTCTGTGCTGGGTACTGAAGAAGAAGATGAAGATGAAGAGTATGAATATATGAACCGGAAGAGAAGAAACAGCCCACCTCGGCCCCCTAGGCCTGGCTCGCTTGAGGAGCTGGGTTATGAGTACATGGATGTGGGCTCAGACCTCAGTGCTTCTCTGGGCAGCACGCGGAGTTGCCCACTCCATCCTATGGCCATCATGTCCTCTGCTGGCACAACTCCAGATGAGGACTATGAATATATGAACCGCAGATGTGGTGTAGGTGGTGCCGGAGGGGATTATGCAGCCATGGGGGCCTGCCCAGCAGCTGAACAAGGCTACGAAGAGATGCGAGCTTTCCAGGGGCCTGGACATCATGCTCCACATGTTCGCTATGCCCGCCTCAAAACTCTGCGTAGTTTAGAAGCCACTGACTCTGCCTTTGACAACCCTGATTACTGGCATAGCAGACTTTTCCCCAAGGCTAATGCCCAGAGAACATAACACCTGCTCCTTGAGACTCTCAGGGAGCATTTGATGGCAGCTAGTTCCTCTTGAGGGTACCCCTTCCTCACCCCTCTTCCTCAGGTCCCATCCCCATTTCTCCAGTCCAAGACAATGCCATCTGACCTTTGGAGACTTGTAAGCATATCCTCACAAGATCTTTGTGGTATGTAGCCAGCTGTGTACTCTCTCCTCTTCCCCAGCCCCAGGAAAAGAGAAGGGTTCCCTATTTGTCTACTTTCCCAATCCGATTCCTCAGCTTTCTCAGGGAGATGCCCTGCAGACATGAAGGATTACTTTCTAGCTCCTTTCTCTCAAGTTCTTGCTTGGATTAGACTCTTAAGCTATGCCTTTCTTTCTCATTAGGCTGTCCTAAGAGAAGAAATAGACCTGGAAGAGGAAAGTAAACTTTTGGCTTATAAGACTTAATCCCAGGGAAAGATTGAGAAGCTTAAAACTTTATGGAATAAAGAAAGTTGGGAGTAGATACCAATAACAATGGATTGAACATTTCCTGTGAGCCAGGCATTCTCATGCTGAACTCTGTCTACTATCTCAATTAAAGGCTCTCTGTATTTGTAAGGTAGAGCTGATCCCATTTTACTCCATACAGGAGTCCCGAGTGTTCCAAGGTAGCCAATAGGTCCCAGAATCTGTGAAGAGTACTGAATTTTGTAGTTTTTAAAAGAATGTTTTAGTTGGTGTACAAAACTGCATTCTGTAGTTTAGTGACTTCTTTTGTTGTGATGGTTTTTTGTTTTTGTTTTTCAAGACAGGGTTTCTCTGTGTAGCCTTGGCTGTCCTGGACACACTGGCCTTGAACTCACAGAGATCTGCCTGCCTCTGCCTCCCAAGTGCTAGAATTACAGGTGTGTGCTATCACGCCCACATGGTGGACTTTTCTATGTTAACTAAGAACTCATTCATTATGGCCATGACTTTTTCTAGTTTGAAGGGCCACAGCAAAAGCAGTACTAATTTTTCTAGGTTTATAAATTCATGGGTTTGTTATTATAGATATTACCAAACAGTGCCCTCTCCCCGTATGGTCAAGAATTTTCACGTTTTATCAAAAAGCACTTCTGTTTGACATGTCTGAATTGCCAGCATCACTACTCCTGCACTTTGAGCCCATTTTTAGGTAACATTAGAGTACTTTCATATCACTGTTTAATAGATAGGGGGTAATTAAGTGACTGAAGAGCAAATTCAGTGTGGATGTATTAGGCAAAGAGATGATTCCTTTACCAAGTGGGACAGAAAAGGATGGTTGTAATTTCATCATGCTACTCAGAATGGTGTGCAATTTAAACTTTAGGGACTATTTATTTCAGGAATTTATTTCAACATTTTCAGATTGCAGTTGATCATAGGTTACTAAAACTGTGGAGAGCAAAACCTCAGATTATAGAGGACTGAGCCTTGAAGAAATTAAGCAGCAGGTCCAGGATTCAAAGTCTTCCTAATTCCAATGCCTGTGATTTTACTATAAGATGTCAAGGAGTACCTATGTCAAACCCTTGTCAGGGGTGTTGCGTATGTATGAAACTGGGTCTCACTCTGTAGACTGGCCTGGAACTGTGTAGCTCAGGATGACCTTGAACTCAATTCACAGGATCCTGCATTAGCCTCCCAAAAGCTGTGGCTACAGAAAGAGTGAGCTACCAGACTCCGTTTATGCACTGAATCAAGCAAATGCCAGCAGCCACATTTTCCTCCAGCACCCAGGCCTTTCATTCCAGCAAGGAGTGGAGACAACACAGAAGGACAAAACAACTGGAGTTTTGTGTAAGCCACAGGCCATTTATGTTGTAGAGACACACTCCTTACAAGCCAACTCACAAAGGTTCTTAACCAGTAATGAGAAACTTCTGGTGCGAAAGAGGATCCATCTTCAGACCTCAGTCTTCCTGGATGGGAATTGGGGGAAAATGTCTTGTCTTTTTTTTTTTTTTTTTATATGTGTCTGAATAAAAATGCCAAAGGTTTTTTTTGTTTGGTTGGTTTTTTTTTTTTTTTTTTGGATTCCTGTCAAGTGAAAAAGTGCAGGAGACCATCCTTTTCTTTGCTTCTTAGCAATGGGTAGGTTTCTCTGGTTCTGCTATTCCTACTCTGTCTCAAGCAGCGCCCAAAGTTTTATTTGTATGTTTTGTGTGGGGGATTTTTTTTTTTTTTCTGTCAAGACAGGGTTTCCCTGTATAGCTCTGGCTGTCCTGGAATCGCTTTGAAGACCAGGCTGGCCTCGAATTCACAGCGATCCAACTGCCTCTGCCTCCCAGAGTGCTGGGATTAAAGGAGCGTGCGCCACCATGCCCGGCTATTTGTATGTTAAGATTTTATTTCTTAATTATACGTATGTGAGAGACTAGGAGTCGGGACTGTGTTATGTGCACATGAGTGGTGAGTGCAGTGCCCAAGGAGACCAAAGAGTGCTAGAGTTACAGGTGACTGTACTGTGCTTGTTACAGGAGCTGGGAACTCCCTCTGCAAGAATACCAGATTATAAACACTGAGCCATTACTGCAGGCCTGTTAGCATTCTAGTCTTTTTTTTTTATTAATGGGTTTTTACTTGGAATCTCTACAAAGTACCAAGTGTAAACAAAACAAAAAACCCAAATGTCTTGTTTGGGGAAACTGAAAAAGCCCAAGCTGTGGTTTTTTGTTTTTTTTTTTTTTTTCCTTACACAGACGGAATACTGGAAATTTGACTCATTCTCTTAAAAGTGACCAAATATCTCCTAAGGTCAGTAAGTCTGACCTTTGTATTGGCAGGCCATGGTAAACGAATAATCACTCAGACTGTCCAGGTAGCCCTCACTCACAGCACCTCTTCCACCTCCGCTCAGCCCCTCCCTTTCTCCCGGCACAATAGCGTTGGACCAGCTAGGCCGGTCGCGCCTGCCGAGTCTGGAATACCGGGCTAAGCGCGTAGGGTACCCTCCCTCGGTGCACACCCCGTGACGCTAGGCCCCTGGCCCCGCCCTGCTCCACCCTGCCCAGCGGCCTCCGAACCCTTCTCTCCTGTAGCTCCGCCCCGCCTCGTTTAGCCTGCCCCCCTCTGTTATGAGCTCAGGCACCGCGCTCTTGTGAATGAGAGATTTTTCCCGGAGAGTCCACGCTTTCCCTCAAGCACGCCAACGGCTCCGCCTTCCCGCCGGAGCCAGACCCTTCCCAGCGTGCCCGGCGATTCCAGCGTGCGCGGACTTGGGAGGGCCAGGCCCTAGGGCCTGGCGGAGGGGCGCGAGGAGCACGCTGGGAATTGTAGTTCCCAAGCCCAGGAGGGCGGCTGAAGACTGGCCGCCAGCCGGACTCATTGTCCCAGTGTGCCGTGCGTCTCAGCCCGCGCTCTCGCAGCTCCACGCTCTGTCCGCCCGCCCTCCCGCTCCCTTGCTTGCTCGCGCTTTCCTTGCGGATCGAAGAGACTGGCTACAGCTTGTGGCTAGGGAGGCAGACGGAGGCCGCAGCTCAGGGAAAGTGAAGCTGCAGTAGTAGTAGTAGTAGGAAGATGTCGGGCGAAGACGAGCAGCAGGAGCAGACTATCGCCGAGGACCTGGTCGTGACCAAGTATAAGATGGGGGGCGACATCGCCAACCGTGAGTGCGGCCTCGGGGGTCTTGGAATCGAGGCTGAGAGGGAGAGGTTTGGGGCTGTCTCCGGAGGGCTGGAGCGGCTGGGTCTTGCGGAGTGAGCCACCGAGGGGCGCGTGCCGACGGCCAGGGGCAACGTGGTGGGGAGATCTGGTGTCGTCCCGGGGACTGAGCAGCCATGCCTGGGCTGGAGAGTGGAGGTGCGGGCCGGCGACCGCGAGGAGCGCAGAGAGGGGCCCAGACGTGCTCCGACCCTAGGCGGTTGGTAAGGAGGCAAGGCGCGTCGTCTTCTGCCCATCACCGTTCGGTCTGTCCGGATTTTCCAATGACTGGCAGCTGTGAGGCTACCTCGAAAAGGAAGCGCCCAGCTGTTGGCGACCGAAGCGCCCCTCTGGCAGTCACCGCTCTTAACCTGCAGGAGTCGAGCCAACACGTGTTGCCAGGTCCTGTGTGGATCGCTGGCTCCCCACTTCCTCTCCTACCGGGCTTCCCCACCACGTGCTTTGCTAAAGTCTTTACTTCAGGTCTTCCTGGTGGTGGCCCCTTCTCCCCTCGGCCTATCTCGAGGGACCGTTGGAGGACACGTCTGGCGCTTCTAACACAACTCTTAAGGATACCTGCCTTTTCTGGATGACTGCTGCCCGTCTGTGAACAAGGCCTTTAATACTTGTCCTTAGAGCGCTGACAGCCCTTTGAGGTTCTGCTTAGACAGCTGGGCAATCCTGACGATAATACTGGAAAGGGGCGGCGAGGAACACAGATTTTAGGATTATTATAAGCATTTCTTATACGAGCCTTGTTTTTTTTTTTCTTAATAGTTGTCTCAGATAACTTTGTTTTCTCTTTGTTCCAATTCATCTTTTCTGTGTTTCTCCCCTCTCTCTCTTCCTCGTTCTCCCTCGCTCCCCCTCTCCTCAGACAGGCTTTCTGTGTAGTCCTGGTACTCCCTTTGTAGACCAGGCCGGTCTCAGAGATCCGCCCACCTCTGCTTCCCGGAGTGTTGGGATTAAAGGCTTGTGCCACCATGCTCTTATCTTTCCGTTTTTAAAAGCCACTTAAGGAGATGAAAACTGTCTTGACAAAATACTTGGAAGCAGTTATTTAGGATGTCTTTGGTTAGACCTGAGTTTTTCTGCATTCCAAAGAATAAAAACCAAAACACATACACAAAAATAAAACCTAGAATTCCCATGAATCATAAAGAGAATATATACAAAATAATAATCTTATTTGGGGTCTTGTTTTATTATTTGATATTATTGGCTTGAGTCAGACAATCTCTATCCCTACGAGTCAGCTTTAGTTAATTGTGACTTCAGATAATAGCTTTGAAACTGGTCACATGTTTCTTTGATCTACTAAAAGTAAGCCTTGAGCCCCCTATTCAGACTTCAGTTTATTTCCCCTGGGCTTATAAACTTGTATATGGGGAAATGCATCTATGAAAATTGTGATTGTTTCCACCTAGTTACAGTGCCTGGGGAGGAAAGAACATTAACAGTGCTTTAACTTTGACTTAGCAATTATCTGAGCCTTCCTGTTGTCCCTGACACCTATAAATTTATTCTGCTCTTTGTGTATACGGGTTTCTTAGGGCAGAGTTCTCTAATGTGTATGTTTGGTAGCATCTAAAGATTTAGAACATGCAAAGCCTTTATATATTCAGGTGTCAAGTAATTTTAAGGAGAGGAGTGGGTGCTAATTTTTTATTTTAGGAAAGGAAGGTGGAAAGTAAAGTTGGGTGTGGTGGTACACGCCTTTAGTGCCAGCACTTGAGGGGAGGCAGGCAGGTCTTTTAAGTTCCTAGCCGGCCTGGTCTAAATAGTGACTTCTAGAACAGCCAGGGCTATGTTTCAAACAAAACAAAACAAAAAAGTAGACATTAAAGGTGGATAGAATATTGATAGAATATTCCAGGACACAGGACTTGTTTCTTTCCTCTTTGCTTAAGACAACAGCATTAGGGAACATTAGGGACTGAATTCAACTTCAGTCTAATTAGATGATGCGCACGCACACCGTGTGGGACTGATGTAATGGGATTCTGTCCCCAGGGGTACTTCGATCTTTGGTGGCAGCTTCCAGCTCAGGTGTGTCGGTACTGAGCCTGTGTGAGAAAGGTGATGCCATGATTATGGAAGAGACAGGAAAAATTTTCAAGAAAGAAAAGGAAATGAAGAAAGGTAAGAAGCAGGCAAATTCCCTCCCATTTGACCCCAGCCACAGAGTCCTTTTTCCCCCATTGAAATAACATAACTTCCACCCTATCTCTGGTTAAGATATTTGGAAGTCTAGAGTAGTGACTGGGATGGGTGCAGTTAATTTTTTTCCCAGTCTAAACTGAGTAAGCTTATGCAAGTCCCTAAAATAAAGCCCCTCAATGTTTTAAGGGCGAAGGTGTGATCGAGGCAGTAAGGTCGGTGATTCTTTTTACAGGTATTGCTTTTCCCACCAGCATTTCGGTAAATAACTGTGTGTGTCACTTCTCCCCTTTGAAGAGTGACCAGGACTATATACTCAAGGAAGGTGACTTGGTAAAAATGTAAGGTTAAGCCGTTCTAGAGTCTTTGTCATTTTCCTACATTTTATACCTGTGTCAGTTCCTAATGCAGTATTCTTGCCTTTCAGTGACCTGGGGGTCCATGTGGATGGCTTCATTGCTAATGTGGCTCACACTTTTGTAATTGGTGTCACTCAGGTAGGTAGCATGCTTTTGAACTGTCTTTGTTCAGTCTTGGTAAGGGGGTATACTGCCATTTGTGTTTTTAATCTTCGTTCTGTAGGACCACAAAATACACACATTAGTGAACTTTCCAGAATGACACAGATTCATTCTTCACAGGGGACCCAGGTGACCGGGCGGAAAGCAGATGTTATTAAGGCCGCTCACCTCTGTGCCGAAGCTGCCTTACGACTAGTCAAACCTGGAAACCAGGTAAGGAGCTTCCTTCTGGTTTCAAAGCTTGGTGGAAGCAAAGATGAATCAGGCATCTATAAACAGTAATTAACTGAGCACCTACCACAGTCCATGTAAAGTATAGGGGATGTAATTTCTTCCTATGGAATCTATAAAGGAAGGCCATTTTTAGATTTTGTATGTGCATTTTAACTCCCAAACTAGGCACATAACTAACCCTGAAACACAAATATTTAGCTGGGTAGTGGTAACACCTTTAATCCCAGCATTTAGCAAAGGCAGGCAGATAATCTGATTTCAAGGCTAGCCTGGTCTACAAAGTGAGACCCTGTCTCAAAAATCCAATCAGTTGATCAGTAAATAAAATAATTTGTATGAAAAGGATAGAAAAGAGAAAATAGTGCTGATAAATTCATGCCACAGAGACCAAAATTAAATGTTAGATTGTCAGTGAACATTATCTCTGAATTTAGCTTTCCAGAGAACCACTCAGAACTTAAGACACTCTTCCCTGTGTGCTCTTGTGCCTCTCACCTATATTTCATCCTCCTGATTGCTTGCTTACATAATTTTGCTTAAAATTCTGCCTGTATTTCCTTATGATGACATTGACTTCAGAGTTGTTTTCAAGCCCTTTGAATAGTTCCTAAGGCTCCCCCTCCCTGGTTTTTCAAGACAGGATTTCTCTGTATCCTTGGTTGTCCTGGAACTCACTCTAGACCAGGCTGGCCTTGAACTCAGAGATCCGCCTGTCTTGTGCTAGGATTAAAGCCCAGCCTGTAGTAAATTTTTAAATTAGTTGTTACTACTGTTTTCATACATTTTGTTATTTATATTGGCTATTTGCATAATGGTTTGTCTATAGCTATGGAATCAGATGCAGTCTACAAATGTAACTTTTTAAAAGTCATCTTTCCCCCCCTGGTGTTCCTGATTTCTTCTCCCCCCAACCCCCATCACAGGTGTGTGCCCCACCACACCTGGTCAAAAGTAGTCTTGAGCTCAAATGTCCTCGTTTCTGTAAAACAGGAAAAGTGAAACTGAACTGTGGCCCTTGTCAGAGGGACCAGTAGCTTGAATGAAGAGGAAGAATAGGGTCAGCAAGATGTCTCAGTGGGTAAAGACCCTTCCATGAAGCCTGCTGACCTCTTTGATGTCCTAGGATCTGCCTGATAGAAAGTAAACTGACTACTGGAAGTTCTATGTATTTAGTAATAATAAGTGTACCTACACATAAGCTGGGTGTGCTGGCTCACACCTGTAATCCCAGCACCCAGGTCCACAAGGGGAGCCCAGGACAGCCAGGATTGCACAGAGAAACCCTGTCTGGGAAAAAAAAAAATGTGCACACACATAGGCTAAATAAATGTATGTTTTCTTTTGCTTATTTTGAAATAGATTTTGTACTGTATATACCAGGCTGTCCTCTGTCTACGCAGTTCTGGGAGTAAAGGCCATACTGTGCCCACCACAGGATTTTTTTTTTTTTTAAGTTAAAAATAAGCTTGTTATTGTTTTGTTTGTTTGCTCCCCATCAGGTAGAATGCCAAAGAACCAACCCTAGACTTGACATTGGAAAATATGCCAAGGTTTCTCCACAAAATACTTGCTTTCCCTTGGACAAATCAGTTAACCTTTTTTGAGTCTGCTTGTCTTCTGGGTTGGGGTATAGATCTGCTCTGTTGTTTAAGAGATGTTGCATATTTGGACCATCATTATAAAAGCAATTGTAAAGCAATTGGGGGGTGTCATTGAGACTGGATTTCTCTGTGTATAGCCTTGGTTATCCTGCAACTCACTCTGCAGACTAAGCTAGCCTTGAACTCTGAGTGCTGGAATTAAAGGCATGTACCACCTCCATCTGACTGCATTTAAAATGCAAGTTTTAGTTTGTGGGAATGATATGATTATGAGTGAAAAACAGTGAATAAGAATCATTGGCACTTGATGGGGGGATATTAGACTAAGTTAGAAGGAACAGATAATCTCACCTTTCATTTGCTCTCTTCTAGAACACACAAGTGACAGAAGCCTGGAACAAAGTTGCTCACTCATTTAATTGCACACCAATAGAAGGTGAGACCTCAGATACCTGGGTTAAAGGTCTGACAGTGAATAGTGTGGCAGAGCATCCAATCTGGCTCTACCTTTGCCTGAGGCAGAAACCTCATACCCTGTTCCCACTGCAAAATTGCACTGTCAAACTACATATGAGAATGGGTTTGGAAGCCCTTAGGGAGTTCTATAGCTGGTACCATGGGCTTTATCCTGTCCACAGGTATGCTGTCACACCAGTTGAAGCAGCATGTGATTGATGGAGAGAAGACCATTATCCAGAATCCTACAGACCAGCAGAAGTAAGTGTCAACCCCATTCTTTGCCTTTTACCATTCTGTATTAGCTGTCGGGTTTTATTCATCCATGCTTTGGTCATGGTTACCTTCTCCAAACTATCATGTTTTTGTTTTAAGGATTTTAATTATGTATGTGTGTTTGTCTACACATGTGAGTGCAGGTACTCTTAGAAACCAGAGGTATCAGTATTTCTGGAGCTAGGTAGTAGTGGGCCCACCTGGCTTGGGAACCAAACTCAGGTCCTTATGTGCTCTTAACTACTGGACCATCTTTTTTGGGGTGGAAGTGGGGAGCTCACTCTAGTCCTGACTGACCTAGAACTTACAGTAATTAATGCTTCTTCCTGATGCTGAGATCAAAGGCTGGCACTCCTATGTCTGGCTTAGGGTTGTTTCTCTATTCCCTTCAGGAAGGATCATGAAAAGGCAGAGTTTGAGGTACATGAAGTTTATGCTGTGGATGTCCTGGTCAGCTCAGGAGAAGGCAAGGTAATAAAACCAGATTTAGCAGAAGGGATGACTTGAAGGAGTGTTCACCGGATCAATTGGACCTGACTTAACTCTCTTAGGCCAAAGATGCAGGACAGAGAACCACCATTTACAAACGAGACCCCTCTAAACAGTATGGCCTGAAAATGAAAACTTCACGTGCCTTTTTCAGCGAGGTGGAGAGGCGTTTTGATGCCATGCCCTTTACTTTAAGGTACTACATATAGCAAGAACAGGACTGGGAACCAGTCTGACTAAGTTTGTACACCTAGGAACATTTTCTCTTCCCTTGGCTTTCCCTCCCTCTCTCCTGCCCAGACTTGTAGCTCCTGCCTGAATGCACGTCCTCTGCCCTGCTCATCTCCTTGTTGAATATAATATAGAACAACCCTAAACATAATTTTTGCACGAGGATAGAAGTGATCTAGAAATATGCATGACTTGAGTATGTGGCACATGCTTGTAGTGCCAGCATTCTGGAGGTGAGGCCAGAAGATCAAGAGTTTTAAATCAGCTTAAGCTACATTGAGCAAAAACTTGTCTTAAACAACAGGGCCATTTGCTGTGCAGCTGTAGACCAAGAACTGTGTTAAGGCTGCCAATGACTGAAGTTCAGCTCCTGAAACACATGTAACAAAGCTGTCCCCTGGCCTTCACTACCATGCCCTGCACCCAGCCACCTTCATACATGTAATAAAACATTAATGAAGATAAGTGGTAATGCCTGATAGGTTGTTAAGGAGACTTGAATGCTGTCTTTCTCTTCCCAGAGCATTTGAAGATGAGAAGAAGGCTCGAATGGGTGTGGTAGAGTGTGCCAAACATGAGTTACTACAACCATTTAATGTTCTCTATGAGAAGGAGGGTAAGTCCTAAGAGGGTTTGCTTTTAGAGCCCCCAGTATTACACCTACCTCTGCAACTTCAGGGGAAAAAAGTACAATGTGAACTTTTTATTTTCGCATAGGTGAATTTGTTGCCCAGTTTAAATTTACAGTTCTCCTTATGCCCAATGGCCCCATGCGGATAACCAGTGGTCCGTTTGAGCCTGACCTCTACAAGTCTGAGATGGAAGTCCAGGATGCCGAATTAAAGGTTAGTGTTGAATGAAATGAACAGGGGCCATTGACCCTGTGAAAGTCCTGAAGAGAATTTCCAAAGTGAGTCCCATGTTTACCCCACATTCCTCAGGCTTTACCTTCTTCCTTCTGTTTTCCAGGCTCTTCTCCAAAGTTCTGCAAGTCGAAAAACCCAGAAAAAAAAGAAAAAGAAGGTATGCGATCTTGATGGTGGGGTCTGAGCTCACTCCCTTCTGTTCTGACTCAGCATCAAGATACTTTTTGGGGGTTAGTGGCAAAGGAATTGGTTTTTTGTTTTTATTTGAATTTAGGCCTCCAAGACTGCAGAGAATGCCACCAGTGGAGAAACATTAGAAGAGAATGAAGCTGGGGACTGAGGTGGGTCCCTATCCCCAGCTTGTCATTCCTGCCTCCCTTCCCACGGCACCCCAGGCTCTGTGAAGTGCAGTTCGTCTTCTCCACCCAAGACCACCAGCAGAGCAGGGTCTTCTGCCCTCATCCCTGTTTCCCCACCCACCCATCCACTCCTTCCAACAAAAAACCAGCACCAACTGACTCTGGTGTTGGGAGGCCAGGCTTCCCAGCCACTGAAGACTACTTTCAGTAGAAAAAGAAATTGAATAATAAAATCAGGAGTCAAAATCCATCGTCGTCAAGCCCCTCTTTCTAGCCTTTTCTACTCTGCTTGGTTAAGGTTTGTGGCCACTACAACAGAACAGGAAGGAGGCTAAATTAGCCACTACAACTAAAAAAAAAAAAATCACCTGAAATTTTTTACATCACTGATGTCATTTTATTCTTTTGGAGGCTTCTTTTTCCCACTGTCATCAAGTATTTAGTCTGCCCTCAATGAGGACTGGTTGTATTTTTTTTATTCACTTAATGGCAGATTCCTTGTCATCTAGAGTATCTGGTTAAGCCCTTCCCATTTTTTAAGAAGCTAAAATCTCCACTAAGAAGAGATTTTTATCACCTATCAAAAGGATCCTCATTTGTAAATATTTTTAGTCATTTTGTTCTTCTGAGGCCCTCCATTCACTCATTTTCACAAAATTGATAATCCATGCCCGGTGTGTTTACTCTCCCCCCCTCCCTGGAACCAGTGGATTTCCCCTCACTTGATTTTAGAACTTACATTGAAAATCCCACTGTGTGTGTGTGTATTTTGGTTTGAGACAAGGTCTCACTATGTAGCTCTGGCTGGCTTCAAACTCACTGTGTTTACCAGGCTAGCCTTGAACTCAGAGCTACATCTGCCTCTGTCTCCTAAATGCTAGAATTAAAGGTCTTTGCCACCACACCCAGATTCCCATTTGACATATTTTGAGTTTCCTCTCATGAAAGGAAAACCAGGTATCAGAGGAGTAGACTGAAGATAACTGACTTTCTGAAGCTGTGGACTTGTATGACTTGCTGGGGGTTTATAGAGAATGGTTATAATTTGTACCTCTGGCATGCTGTCCAGGGAACCAGGGTTCCCATTAAGAGGTTTTTGAAATGACATGGCATTAAAATAAATTTGGATTTGCTCATAATGTTAATGTGTTTGTTCTCTTTGTCTTCGTGGTGGTGGGCATGGAACAATTTATCACTAAGCTGTGTCTTGAGACAGTCTCCCTGTGGTAGTCCTGGGTAAATCAGGCTGTCTACCCTGTGGTAGCCCTGGATAAATCAGGCTGTGTCATAATGTTAATGTGTTCTCTTTGTGTTTGTGGTGGTGGGCATGAAACAGTTTATCATTAAGCTGTGTCTTGGGGTCTCCCTGTGGCAGCCCTGGATGAATCAGGCTGTCCTGTGGACCCTCTGCTCCTGCTCCAGAGCCTGGGACTAAGTTCAGGTACCACCACTGTCCAAGGAATTTGGAAGTGTCTGATTCATGGAGGTGTCTGTCAGTTGAAGGACTGTCGGTTTAGGGGGTGATGGGATCTTTAGATCTTGGGATCTTTTTTTTTTTTTTTTTCCGTTTTCTCTGTGACCCTGTCTGTCCTGGGCTATGACCCTGTCTGTCCTGGGCTCTTGTGTAGACCAAGCTGGCCCTAAACTCTCAATCTTTCTTCCTCTCCCAGCCTCCCAAATGCTAGGATTAAGTGCCACCTGGTTTGGGAATTTAAGTATACAAGCTTGGGTTGGGGGTTGTTTTGTTTTGTTTTTTACGTTCTTTCAAGACAGGGCTTCTCTGTTGTAACCTTGGCAATTCCTTGTAGGTCACGCTGGACTCTGCTGCCTCCTAAAAGCTGGGATTACAAGCGTGTGCCACTGCACCTGGCTACAAGCATTTATGTTAGGACTGATAGTTTTCTGTATAGTGTAAAGGCAATATGGCAAGTTTGCCTTTTGAGTGCTGGGGTTATAGGCACATCTCACCACACCTCATTTATGCTGTGATGGGGACCAAAATAGGTAAGTTTTCAGTGCCAAGCTGAGGTGGTCTGAGTAACTGGTTTAAAAGGTTTTAGTTTTACTACGTATGAAGCACTGCTGAACTATGAGTATAAAGGAGTCAGCAAATCTGAGTGATAAGTATGTTTTAAATTACAGAGAGGTTTGGCTCGGTTTGGTCTTCTTGGGCTCTTGAACCTGCCTCAGTCTGTTGTGTATGCCACCACACCTGTTTGCTGTTAGTGGGCATGCCGATTGAGGAGACTATGGGACACAACAAGGTGTCAAAGTCTGCCTCAAATTTTGTTTTGAGACAGGGTTTTTCTGAATAGTGCTGGCTGTCCTGGAACTTGCTTTTTAGACCAAGCTAGTCTCAAACTCACAAAGATCTTCCTGCATCTGCCTCCGAAGTGCTGGGATCAAAAAGTACAGGGACAAAAGGCCTGTGCTATCATACCCGGTTCCCTCAACCACTAAAACTCCCTAAAACTAAACACAAGAGCCAGATTGTCTCAGTTTATATAAACTGGTGATCTCTTAAGGATTTTTTAAACGTTCTTTTTCTTAGTTTGAGACACTGGCTCAGGCTGTAAAATTATTCTATTAGGACGTTTATTTGGATTTTTAAAACTTTAGCTTGAAGTAGAGTTGTAGCCCAGTTCATAGGGCTTATCTGGCATACATGTAACACTATGTTGGATTCCCAGTATCCACAGTGTATGCCCATAAATCCAAAATTTAGAAGTTGGAGGCAAGAAGATTAAAAAGAAATTCAAGGTCATTCTTAGCTTTGTAACAAGTTTGAGACCACTTTAGGATACATGAAACTTTGACAAAACAGAAAACGGGGCTAAAAGCAAAAGGGTCATCAGTTCAAGACCAGCATGAACAATTTAGTAAGATCCTGTCTAAAATTTCAATGGGCTAGCCTTTAATCCCATCTGTTCTTGGTGATTAGTATTTAATATTGGTGTAACTTTTAGTTAGACTGGTTATTCCTAAACCAGCTGTATACCCAAATCATCACACAGAGACTAGGATTTATTTAATAAACCTAGAGCACAATGCTGGGCAATAGTTAATCCATCCTAAACCTCCAAGCCCATATTTCTCACATACTTGCTTCTAGTCATTTCTTAGGTCCGGCTCATCTCTCCTCATGGTTCCAAGTCCTCTCCAACAAATTCCACTCATTTTCTTTTCTTCTCCTCTGGACCAGGATGTCCCACCCTGTTCTCTCCATTGCTCAGCATTGGCTGGTTGTTTTATTGAAAATACAGAGAATAATGGTGACATGTTTACACAAACGAGACAGGTGGTGCTTAGAATAAGCACCACAATGCAGTGTCAGGATTGACACCAGATAGCGGGGCAGAGAAATCAGCATTTGAATGAGCAAGGGTAAAGTATATACATTCTACAAGAACACTATACCAACACCATCACTGAGGAGGCAGAAGCAGAAGAATCTTTGAGTTTTAGGTCATTTTGATTACAGAAGTGAGTTCCAGGACAGCCAGGACTTCACCATGTGACCTTGTCTTTGCCTCCAGAATATGGGCATTTGTGGTGGGCACCACCACACCCAGTTTAGTCCTTCAAATTTATCATTTAGGTTCTTTAAGACAAGATTTCTCTGTGTAGCCTTGATTATCCTGGAACTCACTCAGGCTGGCTCTAAGATTCACAGAGCTCCACTAAGTGCTAGGTCTGAACACCACACCTGACTAAAATGAGGAAATGTTAAGGAAACCACTGGAAAGGAAGGATTATAATTGACATAGAAATGTCTTTAGTATTGAGCCAGGTGTGGCTGACCTTGAGACAACCACATAAGTCTTAGGCTATTATCATCTAGGGATCATGGCTGTCAAAGGCTACATAATGAGACCATACCCTGTCTCAAAACAAAACAAAAATTTCTTAAGTATTTTAATAAAGCTGGGTATGGTGGCACATGCCTTTGATCCTAGCACTCTGAGAGTTGGAGGGCAGTCTAATCTTCAGAGCAAGTCCAGGACAGCCACGGGTATACAGAGAAACCCTGTCTCAAAAAACAAAACAAGGAAAGTATTTTAACAAGATGAAATCTTGAAGTATACTTAAGTTTCAGGGTTGGTTTGTTTGTTTTTTCCAGACATGGTTTCTCTGTGTAGCCTTGCCTGTTCTGGAACTGACTTTGTAGACTAGGCTGGCCTTGAATTCACAGAGATCCAACCGCCTCTGCCTCTGCCTCCAGAGTGCTGGGATTTTAAAACATGCACTACCATGTCCAGCTCTCTTTTAGGATTAAAAGCATACACAAACACACTCAGGACCCCCCCCCCCCACTCTGGTTTTCTGAGACAGGGCTTCTCTGTAAAGTCCTGGCTGTTCTGGAACTCACAGAGATCCCACTGCCTCAGTCTCCTGATTGCTGGGATTAAGGTTCGGACCACCACCCATTAACTAGCCCTTAGTTATTTATAACAGATGAGCTTTGTGATCAGAAATCTCTAGTGACATTTTGCCTCAATGTAATCAATCATGATCAAAGTTGCTTATTCTCTTCCTAAAGAACTGATCTACACAGTGGTGGCCTTTAATCCTAGCATTTGGGAGGCAGAGGCAGATCTCAGAGTGAGTTTCAGGACAGCCAGGACTACACAGAGGAAAAACAAACAAACAAAACAGAACCAATCTACCTGCGATGCCTATTCTTGGTTGTCAACTACATCTGGAACTAAAACCCAAAATTGGAAGGCACATTTGTGAGAGATTTTTGTCTTTATTTGAAGTAGGAAGATCTACTTCTACTCTTCCGTTTTTTTGTTTTTGTTTTTTTTAAAATAATGGCATACACAGGTGACTCACCAAGTGTAGTTATTTTTTTTTAATATATATATTTATTTATTATACATACAATGTTCTGTCTACATGCACACCTGAACGCCAGAAGAGGTCACTAGATCTCATTATAGATGGTTGTGAGGCACCATGTGGTTGCTGGGAATTGAACTCAGGACTTTTGGAAAAACAGCCAGTGCTCTTGACCTCTGAGCCATCTCTCCAGCTCCTAATCTTCGTTTTTGAGGAAGAAAAACACACCTTTTATTCAGATCATTTGAACTGGGAAAATATGGCTTTAAACTGGATCTTGTGCTGGGAAAGACAAACCTTTAATCCAGGTCTTTAAATCAGATTAAAGGCCTGGCATTCTTCTGGAATCCTATATAAGGATATGGAAGAATGAAGCTTTGGTATTTGCCAGCTTGCCCTTGCCTGCTAGCAAATTCATTCCTTCATTGTCATTAAAGCCTACTTCAGGATTCCAGTGAATACTGAAGAACTACTGGATTCTTGGACTTTCTCTTCAGAGCCATCCATAGTTGGATTAGCCAAACTGTAACCTGTAAATAATTATAATAAATCCCATATATATATATGCATATATATATGAACTTTTATTTGCCTGGTTTTAGTGTTTTCTCAGAGGCTTACTGCATATTCTGCTAACCTAGGCCTAGTCCTGGAAGCTTCTAACCTTCATATAATCTAACCTAGGCCTAGAATGTTTTCAGCCTCTGAGACTTACTGCTGAATAAGCTCACCCTGTGTTGTTTTTACTGAGTTCATAGCTGGCTTGTTCACCTCAACTATTCTGGCCTCAAACTCCTCTCCCAGCTGACTTACTTAATATGGATTTTCTCTTGGTCTCTGAAATGCTTTGCTTGGGCTCAAACTATCTCCAACAACCTGCTCTAATCTCCTGGCTCCTCCTCATTCTCTGGCTCACCTGAGTTCTCTCTCTCTCTCTCTCTCTGCAAACTGCCTGGTAAAAACTCTCCTCGTAAAAACTGCTTGCTCGGGGCTGGAGAGATGGCTCAGTGGTTAAAAGCACTGTCTGCTCTTCCAAAGGACCCAGGTTCAATTCCTAGCACCCACATTGCAGCTTTACAACTGTCTATAATGCCAATTCCAAGGGATCTGACACTTTCACACTAATGCACATAAAATAAAAAATAAATAAATAAATAACCTGCCTGCTCTCTCTCTCATTGCCCCTCAAGTAGCTTCCCTTCCTCTCTCCTCCTAAGAATTGGTTGTACCCTATTCTGTCCAGTCTTTCTCTGATTTGTCACTGTCACTCAATTAGTTATCACTTTCAAACACTACTTTCTACAAAGTAATTTTACCTCCATTGTTTGGGATTAAAGGTGTGTCCCACCGTGCCTGGGCCTAAGCTTTTCTTTACTTGAAACTTGCTCAAGCCTTGAACTCAGATCTCCTTGCGTCTGTCACCTGGATTAAAAGCATGTCTATATTTCGGATCACACAGACCTAAGTCTTTGGATGTGATCTTTTGCCAGACCAGCAGCGTTCTTAAGCCTATTCGACTACGATAGATAGATACTTATTCTATAAATTCAGTCGGTGTCTCCCAGGAGTTGGCAATAGAGGCATACTCCAACCCAGCCCGGCAAAACTAGTAATTCTTTATTTATTGGCTTTACATCCCGATCGTAGGCCCTTTCCTCCTCTCCTCCCGGTCCCACCCTTAAATGAAGAGATATCGTTTTTCTGTTTTGTTTTTTGATTTTTTTTTTTTGAGACAGGGTTTCTCTGTGTAATAGCCCTGGCTGTCCTGGGCTCATTTTGTAAACCAGGCCGGCCCCGAAGACACACAGATCTGCCTGCTTCTACCTTCCAAGTGCTGGGATTAAGTGAATACGCCACCACGCCTAGCTTCAAAACTAGTAATTCTTACTACAGACCACACCTGTTCGTAATAAAATGGAGGTATTTACCAAGAAACTACAGCGCCAAGAAGCAACGAGAAAAAAGACGGAGGTTATTTTTTTCCATCTACTTTTGTCAGTCCCATACTGGAAAAAGGCGCTCGTGCTGAAATAATGCAATGTCCGTAAAGTAAAGGACAGAAAAGGTGAGGCTTGATAAATCTCATTCAAAACATTTTGTTTCCGCCTATAAATCAGCCGGAAGTCACCGTTACTGAGAAGCCCCGCCGCCAGGAGGGAACCAGGGGGTGTCGCCGGAAGTGACGACACTAAGCACGCCATTAAATAGCAGTAAGCCGGCGTCCCCCGCTCTCTCGGCCTTAGCGCCATCTTCCTTGGTGAGTGTTGTTGTGCCGGGTCTTCTGACTTTGAATACAATCCATTAACATCTGGCCTTCACGTGTGCCATCATCACAGCAGCCTAACTGTAATTTTTTTGTCTTCTTTTTAGACACTCCTGCGCCATGAGAGCGAAGGTGAGCAGTTACGTGGTGAGCTTGGGCGGTAGTTCGGAATTGTGGGGAGATCCAGCCAGTGACTCTCCGCCATGGTTCCTGTTCGGGTTTGGAGGGAGCCCAGCAGAGCGTTAAGCCCTTTGGTGGAGCAAGGACGGGTGTGAAAAAACATGGGATTAGGGTCTTCGCCGGTGTCTACACCCGATATCGCTACCCGCGTTTATATCTTGTTAAAACCTACTTCCTGAAAGTATGAATACCCGTACGCAAGCCTATATTCCTAACAGCTAACATTTTTTTTTTCTTCTCGCATAATCGGGTTTCTAGTGGCGGAAGAAGCGAATGCGCAGGTAAGACTACGGAGAAGGGCGGTGGGGCGAGGCTTGATGTGGGATATTCCGCTGAACTTTGAAAATAAAAGCTCAAAGTGAAAATGTCGGTGTTGGCGTGGTGGAACCCGGTGTTTAAACACAGTGCAGTAGAACTATGGTGTTTATTCCGTTACCGTTTGTGCTGAAAGGAAAAAACCCAGCTTGTTTGCTTTCCTTTCTAGGCTGAAGCGCAAGAGAAGAAAGATGAGGCAGAGGTCCAAGTAAATAGACTTGGGCACCACGAAGGCCGCAGACGTGAAGGATGCTGAAGTCCAGGACGCTGGTGCGAGCTGTCGGCGGTGGAACACCCTCTCGCCGAGACCACCTGAGAAGCAGGCTGCCTTGCCTACAACAGCCCGCTTGCCGTCTGCCCTGGACCTTTGTCATTCTGGACTGGTTCTGTTCGCTTGTGGCCAAGTGTAACTCGTGTACAATAAACCATCCTCGCTGTCTGAGCTGAAGAATCAAATTGCTGTTACGTGTTTCTTGCGGGTCGGGAGTTGTTAGTGTGGTTGGGGCTGTACCGAGGAGTGTATCAAGAGCCTGCGTAGGCCGGTACCCGGGGTTTGGTGACCTGTCTGGGGCCAGAAGTGGGCTGTTGTGTGCGCCTGACGTGGTTTTTTGGGACCGCTGCGTAGAAGTTACCGCCGCAACTGTTCGCGTCGGAGGAGTCGGGTTGCTATGGTGACGCGCAAGGCTTCCTGGGAGCTTCCTGCGGCTGGAAGCGCGCAAATTGGATCATAGAGTGTTTCCGGGTCTGGTGGCTAGAACATCGCCTCTTCCGCAGGAAGCGGAAGAGCCGTAGGGTGGGCGGCTCTTTGTCGAAGCTAGAGGACCGGCAGGCGGCAGCAGCAACTACGGCGGCGGCGGCAGGTGAGGGAGGCGGGAGACTTAGGTGGAGGCCGCGCCCGGAGGGGAGGAGTCGGGGCCGGCTCAGCGGCTGTGCTCCGCCGGGCTACAGGAGCACCCCCCCTCTCCGAAACCGACCTGGCTCTTCCTTGCTGCCCAGAACAGACCCCCATTTCTGACTGACCTCGCTTCATGAGCAAACGCCAGCCTCGTGACGTCACAGCCCTGCTCATCCCCTCAGCCTGATGTCACGCTTAGCCCCCTCCCCTCTCACGTCGTGCTTCCTTAGTGTCCTAGTCACCTGGTCCACGGCCGAGTGCTGGCGCCACATCACGGAGCCAGCCAAGCCAGACTTCCAGGGAAACTCCTAGGACTTTTAGTGAACTCTAGGGTGTTGGGGACTGTCGTAATCACCGCCCCCACGTCTAATCTCGTCTTCCCACTGTTACTGTCATTTGTTGCCCTTGTCCAGCTTTCAGTTTGGGTATTCTGAACTCCAACCTAGATCGGACTCTGATCCCTATATTCTCATCCTGAGGTAAAGTGTCACCAAGATTTTTTTTTTTCCTTCAACCTAGCTTTCCAGCCTTTATTGGTTGGTTCTAGCCCTTATGCTTAATAGGGACCTCTGACAAGTGACGTTAAGTTTGAAGTCTTAAGGGAGCCTGAAAGCCACAATGCTCTTACCATTTTGTCAGAATTAATTCAAATTTTGAAAACCACTGGAAGCTTTTTCCTCCTACTACTCAAAAATTCGATTTTTTGTTTTCGTTTCTTATTCAGAACCCAGCAGTGATGTGGAGGCAGAGACTCACGGGAGCCCCGGACTTCACCTGAGCTATCTCAGGTATTAATTCTGTGATAATTGGGTGAGGAAGGCTATCATATCCGCTTATCTGTTCTGGTGGGACTTTGGAGGGCGTTTATTCTTCACCTGGTCATTTATCTTTTAGTAAGGGTTTGTCGTCTCTTTACCACTTGTTCTATTCTATTCTATTCTACTCTTTCCCGTTATGCAGATTCTTGTGTGTCTCTGGCCTCTGATCTGGTTTGTCATTTTAGGGAAATCTAAAGGAAAAGTCAAGGAAACAGGGTGTGAATGGGCTAAGTCAAAGCCAAGAAAATCAAGAAAGGTATCCTTAATGCCCAAACAAACGTACTTTTCTTATTTGACCAGCAGGGGGAGCCTGAATACCACTTAGGCAACATTTAGAGGCTTAGACACGTGGTAGCAGGGACTCCCAGTCTTACTAGAGGGTAAGAGAGAAGGGAGGGCTAGAATTAGGGCAGTGGACTGACATTCCAAAGCTCTCTTGGGAAATAGGAGACTTAAAAAGCTTTTATAGAGTCTATAAATAAAGAGGATTTTTATGGGCGGGGAGTGTTACGGTTTGATATTAGTGGGATCTTTTCATGGAGGGGGTGGAGAATGGGGAAAGAAAGGTCACCATTCCTGTGAAATTAACTCCTTCCCATCTTGACCTTCCCACAGTTTTGTTTTGGGCATCTAGAAGTAGAGATTTCAGCTTAGGACTTCTTTCTCTGAAAAGGAGAGGTTTGTGAGGGGAACAGAGCTACCCTGTAGCTGGTGACCCCAGGATTTCTAAATACACAGAGACTTGAACTAAGTTCATGAACAAGAGGGAATTAGGGAGGTTTTGTTACTGATAGCTCTTCATCCACAAGTTGTCAAAGCTAAACAGCCTGCCTTACAGTACTCTTTAGTTTCAGCCTGTTCATACACCAACAGCAGTTTTAGTTTCTCTCCCACAACTTAAATAAGAAGGGAGGGTAAAATCTAACACTATTCTCTCCCTGCCCCCTCCTTGGCCCATCACCTTCATCCCAGCTTTCCCTCCTCCATTAGCCAGGCAAGTGTGAATCACTCCAACCAAGACCAGGTGCACAAGGGCCTGGGCGGGACTTCTGGCAAGTCATCCAGGCCAGCTAGAATTCTCTTTGGATTCTCCATCTCCAAGGCCATTTCCCCAGAGGACTGCCCCACTGGATAGTCAGGAAGAGTGGGATCTTTCTGGAGAAGCCCTGTTTGACTCAGTTCTCTTTTTTAACAGTCACCAAGAGTGGCAAGAAAAGGAAGAAAAGCCTGAGTTGGGGGGGACAAGGATGCCTGACCGGGACAGCTATGCCAATGGCGCTGGCAGCAGCGGTGGAGGTCCTGGAGGTGGTGGCAGTGAGGAGGCCAGTGGGGCAGGGACAGGCAGTGGGGGAGCCACTTCAGATGCCATCTGTAGAGACTTCCTGAGGAATGTGTGCAAGCGAGGCAAGCGTTGTCGGTACCGCCACCCAGACATGAGTGAGGTATCCAACTTGGGGGTAAGCAAAAATGAATTTATCTTCTGCCATGACTTCCAAAACAAGGAGTGTAGCCGCCCAAACTGCCGTTTCATCCATGGCTCCAAGGAGGACGAGGATGGATATAAGAAGACAGGAGAGCTGCCCCCACGGCTGAGGCAGAAGGTGGCAGCTGGGCTGGGCCTTTCACCTGCTGACCTACCCAATGGTAAGGAGGAGGTCCCTATCTGCCGTGACTTCCTCAAAGGTGACTGTCAGAGAGGAGCCAAGTGCAAGTTCCGGCACCTGCAAAGGGAATTTGAGTTTGATGCTCGAGGTGGTACTGGAGGTGGAGGCTTGTCAGGCTCCATTCCCCCTGGTCGACGCCATGATCTCTATGATATCTATGACCTTCCTGAAAGGGGCTTTGAGGACCATGAACCAGGCCCTAAGCGCCGGAGAGGTGGATGCTGCCCTTCTGATAGCCTCCATTTTGAGTCCTATGAATATAACTTGGCTCTACCCCGTGGAGTAGAGTGCAGACTGCTAGAGGAGGAGAATGCCATGCTCAGGAAACGTGTGGAGGAGCTGAAGAAACAAGTGAACAATCTGCTGGCCACTAACGAGGTACTTCTGGAACAAAATGCCCAATTCCGAAATCAGGCCAAGGTCCTGACCCTGAGCTCTACTGCACCAGCAACTGAGCAAACCCTGGCTCCCACCGTGGGCACTGTGGCCACTTTTAACCATGGCATTGCACAGACTCACACCACTCTGAGCAGCCAGGCTCTACAGCCTCGTCCTGTGTCCCAGCAAGAACTTGTGGCTCCTGCTGGAGCTCCAGCTGCTCCCCCAACCAATGCTGCACCTCCTGCTGCTCCACCTCCCCCACCTCCACACTTGAACCCAGAGATCACGCCACTATCAGCCGCTTTGGCGCAAACCATCGCCCAGGGGATGGCACCCCCACCTGTGTCCATGGCCCCTGTAGCTGTGTCTGTGGCTCCTGTGGCTCCTGTGGCTGTGTCCATGGCCCAGCCCTTGGCAGGAATCACAATGAGCCACACTACTACTCCTATGGTGACTTACCCCATTGCTTCCCAGAGCATGCGTATCACAGCCATGCCACACTGACAGGACTAATGGATTCTTCCTGTTACAGCATCTGAGGGCTGGGGTCAAGGGGCCCTTCCCCACTTGCCCTCCCAGGACCTGTCTGAAGGGCCACCCAGAAACTAGGACAAGAGACTACAAGGAATATACTTCGTAGGAGCATCTCCTGAGGCAGGGTCGTGCTGGTGTGTTCTCTCTCCTTCAGGCCTCACTCAGACAGAGGCTTGCACAGGCATTGAGACTGGGCCAGCAAAAAGAAAGGACTGAGGGACTGTTCTCTCATAGGAAGTTGGGAATGTCCCTGGTCTTGTCCTCACTTGTAAACAGTACAGGTTCCAGCACTGGTATGAGAGAGGAAAATTCCCTACCAAGAGCCAGGAAAGGTTGGGAAAGTGGGTAGTCAGGAGAGAAGACCCCATGGGAGCCTTCAGATGATTTGGGGCCTAAAATTATTCCTGGGCCCCTAGGAAGGCTGGGACCATAGTACTTCAACCCAGACTAGGGAAACATTCGCCTACCTAGCTTGGCCTGGAAATCTGTAGGGCAGTGCCCACCAACTTCCAAAGAAATAAAAGACCATTATTTTTTAACAAAGGAAGTGAGCATTGCTTAGATGGCTATTGGGGAAGATGGGAGCATAAATAGATCTCATGCTAAAAAGGGTAAAGACTTACCCTCGTGTAGCCTGTGTAAGTTGGGTAGATACCAGCGATGAAGGGTAGATATGTAAAATGGCCAAGTGGAGCTCTGGTTTGGGGAAGGCACTTTGTGGGATAAAAGAAACGGAGCCACCTAGTCTAGTTTAAAAATAGCCCCGTCTGTTTCTAGTCTCTGTCTTTATGTGCTATTCCCAGGTTTCCTTAGTAACCAGGGCTTTTAGGGTCATTGGGGTGGGGGCAGGTACTAAGGGTTGTGTACTGAGAAATGGGGATATGGGGTGTTAGGCAGTTGACAGATGCCCTTATTCAAACAGCAGGACAGGCGGTGGTGCCTCTCCAAGCTGTCGATGGCAGTTTCTGTCCTGCTCCAACACTTCTTTCAGGGCCAGTGCTTTAAGCTTTCTGGACTTCAGAAGTGCTAGGCAAAGGTGGCACACTTAATACTAGCAGTTGGAAGGGGAGGGGACCTGCTGGTCAGGAGTTCAGAATCAGCCTCAGCCACATGGTGAATTCCATTGTAACTTGGGGCCTTCTTTCAAAAGCAAAACATGGGACAAAACAAAACATGGGACAGGTGTTAATTCTTCCGTCTTGTCTGTACACAAGACCCGAAGGTTTTAAGCTGCTCAAGGGTCTTCAAGGCCAAACTTTAGCTAAACTCTAGTTTTTCTTCCATCTGTGGTAACATAAGGGGGAAAATCCAGGTGTCTAACGACGCAGCAAACTTGGTGTAGGAAGTGATACTGGGTTGTGCTTCCTCCATTGCTTCTCTGGTTACCTATCTGCTCTCTGATCACTCGGTAGGCACACCTGGGGTTGGAGATGGGCTCTAGATAATGGCAGCCATTTAAAAAAGGGTTTCTTAAAATTGGGGAATGCTGTAGCACATTCCTATAATCCCAGCTGCTTAGGAGCCTGAAGTGAAGAAAGGAAAGCACTGAAGACAAAATGTGGGTGAATTGTAATGGGAAGATTCCAGTGGGTAATAGGCGACTGCTGCCAACTATGTTGGCACAGAGTTCAAGCCCTGAGTTCCACATAAGAGGAAGAGAACCAACTCCAATAATTTGGCCTCTGAGCTACACACATCTACTGTGTATGGACGGCACAGGCTCACACTCACCTCGTTAAATGGTTTGGTTTTGAGATAGAACTTCTCTGTGTAGCCCTGAATGTCCTAGCACTCTCTGTAGACCAGGCTGCCTCAAACTCCGATCCACCTGCCTCTGCCTCCCGAGTGCTGCTGTTAAAGGTGTGCATCACCATGCCTGGCACCTACAACTTTTTTTATGGGTAAATCTTTATCTGTGCTATTTACTGATTTCAGAAACATCTTGTTAAACTTAATATTTGTTTTTGATACAACTTGGAATTATTAAAAGAGATGGCATATGAATTTTTAGGAATATAATTACACATACCAGCATGAATTCTCAAATCTTACCTTCATTTCCTTTATGCCAAGTGTCAAAGAAGTGAATTTAACAATTTAGGTTTATTCCAGCTACATATCCCCGATGACGAATATGTAGGTGGAAGTTGTGTTTAGTGTTAACTGCAGAGAGAGCGCACCACTGGGCAGCGGAGTGTGGCCCAGTGTGGCCTGGTGCCACAAACTTGTGATCCCAGCACTTGGAAGGAAGGCGAAGAAAGCGTCCTTGCAGAGGAGCTCAGTTTAGTCCCCAGTGCCCACCCCATGCAGCACACAGCCACCTGGGAGCCCTTCTGCAGGGCTCCGCCCCTGGACCCAGCACCCGCGCTCCACATGCGCACCCTGCTGCAGGCATGCACACATACGGACATTGTTCTGTTTGGTTCTGAGTCAGGGCTTCAGACCTTGGCTGTCTGTCCTGGACTCCATCTGTAGATCAGGCCTCAAACGCGGAGATCACACTGCCTCTGCTTCCCAAGCGCTGGCATGACATGTGCGCCACCACACCCAGCTATGTATTGATTTTAAAGGTGGGGGAGAAACTGGCTTTGGGATTTGGGTCAGTGATTTGGGGGTTCTTCTGGATTGGGTATTATACGAGGCAGGGATCATTCTTTAATCAGGCATCTTTATCTAAAGGAGGGCAGGCTTCGAGGATATTAATGCTTCCATGGTGCTAGAGCAGTCTAGCATAAAAGGAGATGTTTGCTTCTTTGTGGCTTGCACACTAACCTGTGCTTAAGATTATGAATTGGTTTTGTTTATTGTTTGTCAGTCATTGGAGACAATCTTGTGCTGATAATTTTGTACTTGGTTCAACACCAAAAGTGAACCCAGCAGGTCAGTGAGAAACCTGGATGGCTGTGTAAGGCTAGTTCCTAAACAACAGGAAGGTGTGTGTGTGTGTGTGTGTGTGTGTGTGTAAGGGATTGGAAGCTGCTTTCTTCTCAGGGCTTAAGTCATTCGATAAACAGGTGGGTCCCTGTGAGTGTGTAGGGTGTTGCACATGGTGATCATGCACACAAAACTCCACATGCGTGCACAGAATTCAGCCTAAAGAAATGGCTCAGGGATTAAAGGCACTTGCTGTTCTTGCAGAGAACCCAAGTTCTGTTCTAAACACATACAGAGCAGATTACAACTGTAGAACTACAGTTCCAATGAGTTCTAATGCCCTCTTCTAGCCTCAGAGGGCACAGAGCACACATAAGGTGCACATACACACGTATGCAGGCATATAGTGATACAAATAAAAATCAGCCTTTTTTTTAGAGATATTTATGTATATGAGTACTCTATGATAAGCCCAAGAACTGTTTAGTTAAAGAAACAGATGGGGTTGGACAGATGGCTCAGAGGTTAAGTGCATAGTGGTTTTGCAGAGGACTAGAGGTCAGTTCCCAGCACCCGTGTCAGGCACCTCACAACTCTAGGACCGAGAGGAACTGACCCCTCTGGCCTTCACCGGCACCTGCATTCATGTGTACAAGGTTCACACACAGACACACAAGCACAGTAATGAAAAGTATCTTCCAGAACATCAGACTGTGAAGGTTGTCCAAACACGACAGGATTGAGTGTCCAAATTTATAGGTGGGGGTGGGGGGAGGGAGACGGAAGGCACACTGAAATTATACCAGCAGTCCTACCCATAAAATGGCTGACTAACAAGTGTGGGGGCCCTTAACTAAGGAGAAGTTGCATGTAGAAGAGTCTGTCAGCCCATGCATCCCCTGTATTAACAAAAAGAAACCAGGGAAGTGGAAATGTTAGCAGATTTCAGATAGGTGAATAAGGTAATCCAACTAATGGTTTCATTATGACTTGGAATTCCTTTACCTTTTTTTTTTTTTTTTTTTAAACCTAAGGCATGGCCTCTGCAGAACAAACTATCCATTATATATCACTCATATTCGGTCTCATATAGGCTTGCCAGGTCCGTTAGCACAGTGAAATGAAATTGAAAGGAAATGTGTTAGAAGCCTCAAAATTTCATGAAAAAAATACCATGTTAACAGTAAAGGTTTAAAGAAAAGTTTTTCTATCACCTGGCAAAAAGCCAAGGAAATTATAAGAGAATGTCCTAATTGTTCTTTGTATAACGAAACTCCATTACCTGCTGGAAGTAACCCTAAGGATATCAAAAGAAATTAAATCTGAAGCCGGGTGGTGGTGGTGCATGCCTTTGATCCCAGCACTCAGGGAGGCAGAGGCAGGTGGATCTCTGTGAGTTTGAGGCCAGCCTGGTCTACAGAGAGAGTTCCAGGATAGCCAAAGCTACACAGAGAAACCCTGTCTCAAAAATACAAACAAACAGGAAACAAAAAAAGAAAGAAAGAAAAAGAAAGAAAGAAAGAAAGAAAATTAAATCTAGTAGATGGATAGGTTTCATTTTGTAGAATATGGAAAACTAAAGTTGTACACCATACCATTGATACATACTCAGCATTTCAATGGGCAACTGTTTTGAGTTCTGAACAGAGTGCTTCTGTAATTACACATTTACTGGAAATAATGGCTATTATGGGAATATCTGTACAACTTAAGACTGACTGACCCCACGCATGTCTGCAGTAAGATGAAACAATTCTTTGCATAGTCTAATATTAAACACATTATAGGCATACCACACAACAGTCGTAGAAAGATGTATCCATACATTGAAAGAAATGCTTATAAAGCAAAAAAGACAAAAGACCCCCAGGGGAGATGAGGGCTCTGTTAGCCTTAATTTAATATTAATGAGAGAGGAACAATAGTGGCTGAGAGACACTGGGCTCCAGAGAAACAAAACAAAACAAAACTGGAATTAAATTAGGCTATGTGGGGCCAGAGAGATGGCTTAGTGGTTAAGAGCACTGTCTGCTCTTCCAAAGGACCTGGGTTCAATTCCCAGCACCCACATGGCAGCTCACAACTGTCTGTAATGCCAATTCCAAGGGATCTGACACCTTCACACTAATACACATAAAATTAAATAAATAAAAAAAGAAACATTCCCTTTATATTAAAAAAATTAGCCTATATACTATAAGGATGTATTAACATCAAAATGGAAGTCAACAAATGTTTTGCATTGGGGACATGGATTTGTTTATATTTTCATAGGGAACAAAAAGCTGTGTAAATCCTCAAAACTAATAAAGTTCAGAATGGAGCAGGGGAGGTCTTTTGAAAATCTTGGCCACTGACCCAAAAAGAGCAAAGAAGGGAGCCTGATCTACCACTGCCTTCTCCTGCCAGCCAGAAAAGTCTGGACAAGAGCTGGACATGGTGGTGTACTCCTGTAATCCCAGCACTTGGGGAGGCAGAGGCAGGAGGATATCTGTGAGTTCCAGGCCAGCCTGGTTTACACAGTGAGTCCAGGACAGCTAAGGCTACACAGAGAAACCCTGTCTCAAAAAAGAAAAGAAAAAAAAAAGGAAGGAAGGAAGGAAGAGAGAGAGAAAGAAAGAAAAGTGAGAAAGAAAGAAAAGAGAAAGAAAGAAAGAAAGAAAGAAAGAAAGAAAGAAAGAAAGAAAAAGAAAGAAAGAAAGAAAAAAGAAAGGAAAGAAAAAAGAGCCTGGACAGGAAACGTTCATCACC